GGTGTACGGAAGGAGAAGCCTTGTGCATCCCCCGCGCCCTCTTCCTCTCTGTGGTATATTAAGGGCTGGCTAGAGCCAAGGCCAGCTAGCTCTAGCCACCTCCACTTTGGAGGCATACTGCCCTACAACTCAGGGATATATCCACCCAGTGCCTCCTCGCATTGCTCTGAATATCGCATCCCAGGCCTACCTACCCGGGGATGTCCTTAGACATGGGCTGTGCTGACAGCTCTGCAATTCTTTTGGATGAACTCATGAACAATAACAAAATGCGTGCCTGAAAAGCAATGTTAGGTGGGAGAGGAGAGCCAGGAACAGTAGACATTTTGTTTCATTGACATCTCACAAAAACAATAAGATATATTTCTTGATTGCCTACTACATAGAAAGTACAGTATCAAACCCAAGAGAATGGATTCTAAAGCCAGACCTCCTCAGCTTGGATCTAAGCTCTGCCTTACTTGCTGTGTGATTCTCGGCAAGTTACCTCACATCTATACCTCTGTTTCTTCCACAACAAAATGAGAATAATATCTACCTCATCAGATTTTAATGACGATTAACATATGTAAAGTACCTAACACAGTACCTTAGTTCCATGTATTTGCTATTATTATTACTACATGCAGTTGGTGTACTTTCTAAGGCAGTACTATTGTTCCCATTACACAGAGGGCCAGGGAGGGTTAGTGAGATTATATAACCTGCCAAGGGACACAGCTTGTGCAGAGCAGAGGCAGATTTGGAAGACAGGTGTAGACAGCTCCTAAGAGCTTTCCATCACACACAAAAGCCGCACGTATTTCCACTACCATGTTTCTGTCATTCAAAGAGATGGCAGATAGGCAAACACTAAAAGCTCTAGAGCTCTTCAATCAATAAATAGTACTGAAAATAGTATTGAAAATAGAAATAGTATTAAAAATAGTATTCACTCTTCCTACTCATAAACCATGTGAAATACAGGATGGTTCAGGAAGGCAGCTGGAGTGATGGGAAAATGTGGGTCAAGCCTCCTCTGAGCTCTGGGCAGGGACCAGGAGGTAAGGAAAGTTCCCCAGGAGAACGAAGGATTAGTCATGGGAAACAGTAAGGGGAGGAGGTAGAGGGCAGAGAAAGGTAACTTCAGGGGCAGCAAGGAGCTGGTTATCCAGGACCAAGAAGAGAAGAGAAATGGCAAGGCCTGGGGTTTCTGGAGACTGCCTATCTGGTGATGGTGCAGCCTCAGGAGCCTGAGTAAGAGCAGGCCAAAGGGATGGGTCTGGAATGGCAAGGGTTGGCCAAGGGATGCTGGGGGTGGTGGGGGCACTGAGATGCAGTGCTGATACGCTTTGGAGTCTCAACTTCCTTTCACACTTCTCCTTTCAACTGCAAAGTAAACTGAGGGCCTTGGAAGGATTAAACAAAAATGTGAGGAAAGGGCTGGGGTCAGGGGTCCCATTCCCAGGGATGGAGCAGTAAGCAGTGGAGCAAAGGGGCCCACACTTTTCGGGGGAGCCCAGAGCCTCCCAAAGCTCCTTTCCTAGCCTCCTCTCAGCTAAAGAGAGCCAGTGAGGTAGAGAACAAGACCACTGCCCAACTAAGCTAGTCTTTTAGGCTTCATTTCTCTGTAGGATTGGGAGGCAGAGGGAGGGGCTGAATTTTCTGGAAAATAATTTCAACTCTCCACTTATTTCTGCGGGATTGTTTTGCCCTGGGAATCGATAGAGAGTTTTTCATTCAAAGTCTGGGGTCCTTTTTCCTGACTGAGTTAGGTTTAATGTTCTCCTCTCAGACCTAGATACAAGACGGAAGCTGATTCGCCCCGGGACAGTAACAACCCGCCTGCCCAGGTGCCCACTGAAGGAAAGGCCAAGGTACAAAAAGTCAAGGTAAATTATGGAAGGAGTATTCTCATTACACACATCACATCATTTGCTTTGGTGTTTCAACTCAGGGTATAATATAATTTTTATTTTTAACAGCAAATTAATTATAAAAACAAATATGCTCTAATAAACTAAATTCATTGTGAATCCATCTTTGGTGTTAAGTGAGGTTGAACTGATTTTTTTCCCTTTATAATGGGATACAATGGCTTAACAATTCATAGCACCAAGCCAAATTCAGCCCTTGGCATGCCTGTGAAACCACCGAGGAAGACCGGCCACCATCAAGAACAAGGGAACCTGTGTTCCCCAGAGCAGAAACTAAATCTCAGAAGGGAAGGGGGGAAGAGGGTAGGCAAGGACCTCCAATATCAGCGAGGGCTATCAGGACGTCGTCCTAATAAACGACTTTTTCACTGTCCACACTGTAATTGGTTTACAGCCTTTTTTGTTTGTTTATCCATAAGAGCTGCTGTTAAATGGCTCGGGAAGGCGCTGGCCTAATGGCTCCGTATCGCTCCAGGCCTGTGGGAGGCGAGAGGGGCTCAGGCGTCAGCGGGGATTCAGAGCGGAAACGCATTTCACCTGTAATGGACTTGGCGATTTTTATGATACCATGAGCTTTATCCACAGAAGAATACGATCTCACTCAGTGGAGGGCTATGGGGGGGGGGCGTTTTTTATATGAATATGTTATAATTAGCCAATCCAAAAATCCTGGCAGCTTTGTCCCACCTAATAACAATTACAAATGGCTGTTTGACCTTTGTCTCCTGGGTCACTTCTTTGGGAAGCAGGCAACAGAAAATGCTAGTTGTGAAAGTGACGGCTTGCCTCTGTTGCACACGATCCCTCCCTTAACCCTCGGCCCCACCTGTAGTCCCTCCCCACGTTTTTGTTCAGCCGGGGGTTCCTGGGGTTTGCCCGAGGGAGCACTGGGTGGATTTGCTTTGTGCTGAGCGCCTCTTTTCTTCCTGCAGGGCCGAGCAAAAATATTAAAAGGGAGCAAATGAAGCATCGAAATGGAGACCAATTTACAGAAATGTGCAATTAGACGAGAAGTGCAAAGCAAACACTCTGGGTAGGGGTGGCGGGCGAGGCAGGGAGCAGAGGAGGCGAAGAAGGGGGGCTGTGCGGACCGTGCCGGGCATAGGGGTGGGGTTGGCGAGGAGGGGAGGCGGGAAGAAAAGAAGGAGGAGAAATGCGGCCGATCTTTGTCCCAAGCGGAGCTCACCGCCCGCTCATAACCGCGTCGCCAAGTCAACCCCCGACGACTTGGCAGATTATCTCCGAGGGTCAACACGCCGCGGCGGGGCAACCCCTCTCCTGTCCTCCCTGCTGATCGATGTGGCCACTCGCGGCCGAGGTGATAGCGTCGGGTCCTTCGCGGCCACCGCGAACAATGGGTTCATTGACGCGGGCGCGCAGAGATTAGGCGCGCGGGTCCCACCACCTTTCACTCCCCGGCCCCCCCTAGGGCCGCAGGTGGTCCTTTTCCCTGAAGAAATCGCCGAAACTCCCCCCACCCGCCCGGCTTCCGCCAGCCTGCCCTTCGGTGGGAGCCGGGATGTCCTCCAGCCCCCGAGCTGCACGCGTTCCCACCTCGCGCAGACCGCTCGGTACCCAGCGCACAGCTAAACGCGAACACTGACGCGGCACCAGCATCCCACAAAGAAAGGGACCTGCAGAAAAGTCCACATTTCCAGCTGGCTTTTGGCTTTTTAATGAAAATGAGAGTCTTTCAGAGTAGCGCACTCAACCCCTATGGGTTTAAAAAAAGTATTTCCACAAGGAGAAATATTTTAAAATCTACCTTGTAAAGGACTGGTTGTAGTTCGTAGTTGAGGAAAGTCAGGTTGCAGTGATTTATCTCTTGCTGGTTCCTTGCGGTTCACTCTCCCTCTTGAAGGGGCTTTTCTGCAAAGTTATCCAGTTTTTCTAAAGCCCTCCGTGGTTGGAGGACTGTGATCATTTCGGCAGGAGCCGGTCCGAGGCTGCCCAGGAGGCCCAGGGCAAACGGGTCGGCAGCGGTGGTCATGCCCAGGCTGGGGACTGGTGGCCACCGCGACTGGGAAACAGTCGGTTCTCGCCGCCGGGTCCGAAAAAAAAGCGTCTTTATTTAAGTCAGGACCCCAGAGTGCCCAGAAGTTACCGAACAGGTGAACCAAAGAGGACACGTCATAAAAAAGCAAAGCTTTTCTTTCTTTCCTGAGCACTCTCGTTCTCTCTCCCGCCTGTCTTATTTCACAGACGCAGGACTGAACGTCCTCCAGCTGACGGACGCCAGCGGGTCTAGGAATCCATAGAGAGCCATCAAGGATCTGGAAACCCCGTGCCAACTACCTGCCCCCGCCTCCGAGCTGCAAAGGGAAGCTGCTTCTTTTCCCCTTTACCACGTTAGGCAACTGCATTTTGAATGGGCCAAATGAGTCACAATTTCCCGAAAATCAGTTAACAATGCCCTGCAATTAAAAATATTTTTTTTTACTTTTAAGTCACTGTGAAAGGGAAACGCACTGAACGCTTCTGAAGTTACGGTTTGCACTCTAGAAGTCCCCGCAATACAGCCACAGATAAAAATATATGACGAATGCTGGATCTCTACGTGTTAGCTCACTGATAACTACTGGCGGTTGTGTACAGATTTCAAAAATAAAGTAGGACCAACTACTTCCGAACTGTACAGCCGGCACAGCTGGGGTCTGTAAATATTTTTGACCGTATTCCTTGACAGTTAAAATAAGTTTAAGTGTATAACCTCAACATGTATACATTTATAAATTAATGAACTAAAATATAACGTACATTATCAAACATACAAGAAAAACAGATCTAAGTACGATGAAAGTGTTTCTATCAATGATATATAATATATCTAGTTCTAGTATTTTCAAGCGTGCCCCACTTTGGAGAGCACGGCCAGCTGCGCATACAAGTGTGTGCAGTAAACTCAGCTGAAAGTAAATTGAGACAAATAAATGCAGGTGCTAGTGGGTACCTGGGCCTTGCTTCTTAAGGCTGTCAGCCAGGCCAATAGTGGCCTCCGGCTGAGCCACGTGGGGCACAGGAGCCTATGGCGCAGCGGCCGGCCTGCCAGTCCCAGCCGGCGGCGGGTTCCCTCTGCGGCCAGAGCAGAGCTGTCAAAGCGAGCAGGGGTGGCGCGGCTGTGGGAGAGCCGCACAGCCCCGAGTCCCCGGCTCCCGCTTGCCAGTGCCAGTCTGCAAGGCCGGGAGGCAGCCATGAACCGCGAGGAGCAGTACTACGCGGCCACACAGCTGTACAAGGACCCGTGTGCATTCCAGCGCGGCCCTGCGCCGGAGTTCAGCGTCAGCCCCCCAGCGTGCCTTTACATGGGCCGCCAGCCCCCGCCGCCGCCGCCCCCGTTTCCGGGGGCCCTGGGCGCGCTGGAGCAGGGCAGCCCTCCGGACATCTCCCCGTACGAGGTGCCCGCCCTCGCTGACGACCCCGGGGTGGCGCACCTCCACCACCACCTCCCTGCTCAGCTTGCGCTCCCCCACCCGCCGGCCGGGCCCTTTCCGGATGGGGCCGAGCCTGGGGCCCTGGAGGAGCCAAGCCGTGTCCAGCTGCCTTTCCCGTGGATGAAATCTACCAAGGCCCACGCGTGGAAAGGCCAGTGGGCAGGTAAGCCTGGCCCCCGCTCCCTTTGTCTCCCTCTCTCGGCCAGGCTGCCCCAACCTGTCCAAATTCTGCCTGGGACCTCCTCCCGGCTCGCGTTCCCAGACCCGGGATAGCTGAGCAAACTACACGGTTAGCCAGCGAGGCCCTCCTGCCCTGAAGCTGGAGCGGCTTTTCCACTCAGCTCTGCTCCTGGGAGCTTAAACCCCTTCCTTCCCTTTTATGCTGAACTCCAGGAGCCCATACGCTCCCGGAGAATCAAGGCCTGGCAGAGTTCAAGACTTCGGACCCTCCAACACTGCCCCCACCTCCCACCCAGGATACCCTGAAGTGCACGTCCAAGAAGCCCAGCAGGGCTCTGGGATGCTCCTGACTCGGCCAGGAGCGTGCCTTCCGAGTCCGGCGCCCCCCTCTCGCCCAGAGCCAGCCCAGACGGCTTCATTAGAAAAAGGCAGGCAGTCTCAGGGGCACCCAGGAGATGCAGAAAAAGCAGGGAAGGGAAACTGCGCCCTCGCCTGCAAAGGTGTCCGGCGGCCAGAGGTGGGGGTGGGATGAGGATGGGGTGCTCACCGCAAGGCCAAAAACTGGCGGCTCACGCTCGGAGGCAGGCCGACAGGCAGGCAGGAGAGGGGCGTCTGCGATGCTCATTTCATCTATGAACCAACAAAAGCGCTTGAAGGGGGTCCCCGCGTTGCTTCCCAGCAAGTCCGCTGGAGGAAGGAGATGCTCTTCTTGCAAAGCCAACTCAGGCGGCGGCGGACTTGGGTCCCCGCGGCCCCAGGCGCCGGCGTGCTGCCAGCAGGGCTACCTGGCACCGGGAGGCGCAGACGCCCAGCAGGCCCCCGGGTCCTCACCCGCCCCGAGCGAGCCGCCGAGTTCCGGCGCGGCCTGTGCCGCCGCCGCTACACAATGTTATCGCTTCCGCTCCGCAGCCCCTTCTGCTCACACCTGCAGTGCAAATAGTTGACTTTTCCTTGCAACCAACAGTCGGGGTAGTGGGAACGAGGCTCGAGCTGGCACACCCCGGAGAATCCTCGGCGCCCCTTCTGCCGGCTCTGGCCGCCTGCCCGATACCGCCCCGGCGCAGCCACGCGGGACTTGGGGGTCGGGCTCTTCCAGGATCCCCCGGGCTCGCCTCTCCCCGGTTCCCTGTCTCGCGAAGGGTGGTGGGGAGGACAGGACAGGCGCGGAGGCAGGGAAGGGCGCACACAGGGCCGCAGTCACCCCCACCTCCCGCGAATCCCAGATGCTGCTAGGGGCTTGTGCGTCCGAGGCCAGGCCGGCGGCCCGGGAGCCTGGTGAAACGCGGGGTTCTTTGGAGGCGGGAGGGGTTGAAAGAAGGCCAGCCCGTAGTTTCCTGCCAGGAGCTGCCTTCCCTGAGGGGCTCCCCTCCACCGCGCGCTGGAAACGCGCGTTTCAGGCCTTCAGGGCCCTCCGCGCAGCTTCCCCAGGAAAAAGACGAGGGAGGCCCCGAACGAGGCCTTCTGGCGCGGCCTGAAGCCCCCACCCCCGAGGGTGTTACTGTTACCCCTGCTCTGCTGCAGCTTGGGCTCTGGCGCACCAAGGAGCCAGAGAGTAAGACCTGAGGGAAAACCGGCGGCCTTGCCAGGCAGGGAAAGGGGTGACCCTAGAGGGGTGACATCCTCCACGGAGAGTCCTCGGGTCAGGGCCTTCACCCTCTGACCCACTGCAAAAGCTCAGCCGGGGTCAGCCGAGGGAAGGGGCCGACCCCCTCTTCTGGAAGCTGCCTGTGGGGTGCCGCGGAGGCCAGCGCGATCTTCTCAGGAAACCTTTTGGGGAGCCCAACTTCAACGGTCCCCGGGAGAGCCAGGTGACCAAAGGGCTTTCACTCATGGATATGAATATTAATAACAATAGGGACTTTTGAAAAACATGATCTAGAAAATGAATTGCATCAGCCTCACTGGCAGGCTTGCCCCCAAACCACCTCACCCTGAGCCTACAGGAAGGGTGCAGGCTCAGGGACCTTGCCATCTTTCCAGTGACCACCAACAGCCTCCATCCTCAACCTCCATCCCCTGCCACCTCGCCCTGCACGCAGGTTCCGGGGTGGGGGCAGGGGGACGGGGAGGGCAGTGTTCCCTGGGCAGCCTCTGGCAGTACCTCAGAGCCCCGAGTGGTTTGTGTGTTGAATTTAAGAACCCTGAAAGGCCTTTTTAAATGTTTCTTTAAGGTTCCCTCACTTCTCTCCCAACCCAAGGAAGGCTTGGAAGTGTAAGATTAGGAGATGACTCCCAGTGCCTTGGCTTCTAGGAACCTTCTTTGGGCCTGGGAGGTGGGGGAGAACCTGGGCGGGTTCTATTGGGTAATTAACCCTCCCCACAAATACACACCCACTGGCCTCTCGACTCCCTAAGGCTCAGCCAAGTCACAGGAGAAATGTCCTATACCTCTGCTGTGGGACAAGGCGATGTAGGCCTCTTTCCGGTGTTTTGGTGGAGCTTACCATGAGCCGGAGTCCACCACCTGGCTGCCATCGGTGTCTGGCATAGAAAGAAAAAGGTCAGGACCAAGAGGTGCCAGCGGCAAACACCAGGGCTGCGGTGCTGATCCGCCAGGCGAGTCGTTGCTGCGTTGTGACCCGGGATTGGAGCTGGATCCCCAAGCCCTTGACCCCACCACTACCCCCTCTTCCCTCCTCCAAGGATTTCAGCTCCCCAGCAAGAATCCAGCCCACAAGCCTTCCTTCACCGCCTCTGCCAGTATTTGTGGCCCAGGACACAGAGGCTGTGGCTGACAGGGACCTTCTCTGGGGCCAAGATTAGTATCCCTTCTACTAGAGGACAGAGGTCCAGCTGAAATTAAAATGACAATTATAGATAATTTATCGGCTGCTGATTTGGGGCTGATTGCACAATGTAACTATATGGAGAGATAATACAGTGAGATACAACAATGTATGTAATAACCTCAGGTTTTTATTGAAGCCTGTCTAAACCAATTAGTCGTGGAGTCAATTTGCTGTGTGGAGACCATTTTTTAAATGATATAGTAAACAACAGGAAAAGTTAGCATCGTAAATAATGAAGGTTTTATGTCCTGAAATTTTTTGTCAGTTCTACATCGGTGTGGGAACCGGGTGGTGATCTGAAATGTGTATCTTACTGAGGGTCTCCGTCAGAAAGTTGTAGGGTTTTTAACTGCCATACGTATTAAAGGCATTTTATTGCCCTTCTAGAATCAAGTGGGTTTAGGTATCTGTATGTACGTTTCAAGCAGCATCAGCCTAAACACTTGTACGTGGACTCATTCAAGAACCACTGGTTGACAGAGCCCACCGCCAGCTCACGGAGAGAGTCCGCGCGGCTTTGAGCTCCACGAAGAGGCCCTCTTTACCCGGGAAGGGCTGCGTGCGCGAGGACTGAGCTCTGGGACAGGGGCCTGGGTGGGGTGTCGGTGGCAGGAGCAGCTGGGAGGGCCAGGGCTCCTAGGAATCGGGCTGGAGAGTTGGGGCTGCGTGGGTGGGGACACGCCAGGAGGAGCCACGGGTCGGGGGACCACACTCACGCTTTGTCGCCCACAGGCGGCGCCTACGCAGCCGAGCCCGAGGAGAGCAAGCGGACGCGCACGGCCTACACTCGAGCGCAGCTGCTGGAGCTGGAGAAGGAGTTCCTCTTCAATAAATACATCTCGCGTCCACGCCGGGTGGAGCTGGCCGTCATGCTAAACTTGACGGAGAGGCACATCAAGATCTGGTTCCAAAACCGCCGCATGAAGTGGAAAAAGGAGGAAGACAAGAAGCGCAGCTGCGGGAGCGCGGCCAGAGGTGGCGGGGACGTGGAGCAGGACTGTGCGGTGACCTCGGGCGAGGAGCTGCTGGCTCTGCCGCCGCCGCCGCCCCCCGGGGGTGCTGTGCCGCCCGCTGCGTCTGCCACCGCGCGAGAGGGCCGCCTGCCGCCTGGCCTTAGCACGTCACCGCAGCCCTCCAGCGTCGCGACCCGGCGGCCGCAGGAACCCCGGTGAGAAATGCGGGCTCCTCCCTGCCAGCGGCCTCGGCCACTCGCAGAGAAGAGGGGAGCGGGCCTGGGACCGGGGTATGGACGACCGGCCCTGGAGACTGGATGGGGAGGGAGCTGCGGGGCGCACCCCAGACGGGGAGGGTCGAGAACCTGCGTTTTCAGGCGCCCGTGCCGATTGCGGCGCCTTGGGGAGAGGCTGGCAGGCCTCCTGCAAGAAGAGATGCTTTCTGTGATATCTGGGGCCTCTTCTGGCGGTTATCGCTGGATTGGCGAGTCTGCTGCTGTTGTGTAGGTCCCAGCACTCCAGAACTGGGACCTCTTCAGGGAAACCAACTCCTCAAAAGACAGCAGGAACTGTACAAACTGGAACGATGCTCCAGCACACTGCAGGCAAGCTGGGTGGAGTGGCTTGGTCTGCCCAAGAGCCATTTTTACTCTGGCTTCCTCCTTAATTTGTGGAAATAATTGAAAGGAAACATACGTGGCTTCAAAGACCCAGTGAAATCAATACCCACGGAATAGAATAATTCCTGTTCCTCTCCCTTCTTAAATTTTTTTAGCATTGCCACATACTTCACCAGCACATATCCTTTATCCTGCATCTCTTTTCCTCTTAAAGAAGAGAACATTTGCAAGGGTGGCTGGACAGCGGCAGCACCGGGGTGTAGGGGCAGGGCCAGCGTCTCTGTTGCACCCTGTTGGTTCAACACTTGGAGAGAAGGCAAAGGAAGATGATGGGCCTGGGGCATGAGATTTGGTGGAGAAAGACAGACCCCCTGAGAGATGACTAAACTGAAGGCATTTGGAGCCGTGTGCTGAGCAAGCGGATTTAGCTCCTAGTCTCAGGGCAGGGGAGGCAGTGTGGAAAGGAAAGCAGAGAGGCCCGACCCACCTTGGAAACTAATCACAGAGTCGGTGCGATTTCTAATCTTTAGAAATGATGGAAACGTATGTGGTTGGAGAGTTTGGAAAAGGGGCTATTTTTATTTAAAGTTTTTAAATGAACAGTTCTTTACAGGCGGCAGATCTGTGATTTCCAGGTCAGTCGCTCATTTCAGGGTCTGGGCTTTGTGTCCAGGTGATGTCTATGGAAAACATGGAATAAATATGGATAACACAGAAAGAGATGAAACTGACTCCCCTCCCTTTGTATCAAACCTTTCTCACCCTGTAAATGTTTCCAATTTATTTTAAAACTTAAAGCAGTGTTTGTTTTTTCAGGGTTAACCAGGGGAGAGTTGGTAATTAAGAAACACCAGATCTGGGGTTGGGGTTGGGGTAGCATGTGGGAGGGGTGGATTTTCGGTTTGCTTTGTTTTGTTTCATTTTTAGTTGTCACTTCTTAAGATGAATTTCTTAGGCAATATAGTCCAGAGGCATGGTGTTCGGAGGCCACTGGCTAGCACTGTAGGCACAGATCCAGGAGCTGCCCATCTGGCCCCACTGAGGCGGGCAGGAAGCACAGCTGGCCAGGGCTGTGGCCTGGTCTCTTTCCTCCCACAGCGGTGGTCTCAGCAGGGACTCTTTCCATGACTCTTCCCAAGGAAGTGCCTGCGATGAGTCTGAGCTGCCGAGAGGGTCTGGTGTTAAGGACAAACAGGCCCTAACTTAGTGGGCTTCCAGCCTCTGGGCCCAACCTGCTCCTCCCCAGCCTCTGACAGCCATCCTAACCCAGTTGTGCTCTGGAAGGTGCCTCCTGAACCCGGGCACGTGGCATGCCATCGATTCAGTCCCAGCAGCTGCTATTACTTTCTTTTGCAAAGAAACACAGAGCTTGTTTCTGTTTTGTTTTTGGTTTATACTTTTGTTTTTTAGTTTCTGTTTTTGGGGTGCATGTGTGTGTGTGGGTGTGTGGGGGTGTGTTTGAGAGATCGAATCCTAATGCAGTGGATCAGAAAGCAGAAATTTCTCATCAGCGGCAGGTCTCATGGGGCAGACGAGCCCTTGCCCTGCAGCCTCTCCACGTGCGCCTGGGCTCCGGAGTCCGGCCAGCCTGGACTCCTCAAATGCAGACCCATGTCTGATACAATTATTCAACTTCTCTGTTCCTCAATTTCCATATCTGTAAGGTGAAGGTAAATACTATCTCAGAGTTGTGGGATTTAAACCAAAGAAAACTTGTAAAGTACTTAATTCGGTATCCAGAAAATAGTTGTCTCTTCACATCCTTGTTTTATAACTCATCATTTTCGGAAGCAACCGGGAGCTACTGCTGTAGAAATTGTCCGGGTCTCTCTTGGCAAATCCCTAGGGTGTCGCTGTTGATGCAATTCGTTTATATACCCACCGATCTTTACTGAGCACTTGCTATAGCTTTAGGACGTCCTACCTCATAAATCACCTCCTTTAATTTCCTTCAGCAACTTTCACCAGGTAAGTGAAACTGTCCCCATTTTATACAAGGGAAGCTGATGCGGGGAGGAAGACCACCCGCAGAACAGAAGCACCGATGGTGGAGGCGCGGAGTCCTGTCCTCAGAGGCCGATGAGGCTTTCAGGGCTCCAGAACAAACGCACCGCCGTCTGAGGCTCCCTTCCAATCTTGCGCGGTGCCCGGGCCGCCGCAGGTTCGCGGCTTGCCAACGCAAGGAGCCAGCGCGGGGCCCCCCGGGCCGGGCTTGGGCGGCCGAGGGCGCAGGTGCTGAGTCCGGCCCGGCGTGCGGCCTCCAACCGCCCAGGGACAGCGGCCGCGGGAGCTTTGCTTCCCGCAGAGATGAGCTCCGCTTTCCAGTCCCGCCGCCCCGGACTTGAGTTGTTACCTCTTACCTACGTGTGGCCTTAATTCTCCGTTTTCTCTTCCGTAACATGGGCTCATAAGGGGATGAAATGAAATGATGTACTTGGAAGAGAGCGTTGCCGGACCTGGCCGCCTAGCCGCCAGCACACGAGGTGCGGGGTGGCCGAGGTAAACTGTCCCTAGTGGAGACCGGCCCTCCAGGGAGGCAGGAAAAACGAAGGCCGGCCAGCCCGAGGGCCTCGACGACAGGAGGGAGAGGAGCGAACGCGGGCCCGGAGTGTCTCTCTGGGGCCACCGGAGCGGCGGAAGCGGGCAGAGGACTTTGTCCAGACCCTTCAGGCCAGGGTCTAGGGCAGGTCCCATAAGCCTCTCCACGTGGGACTCGAAATGGAAAATCTCCAGCTCTGCGCGGCCACCCTCGGCCTCACCGACCAGCGGAGCTGACCGCGGGCCGAGGAGCCAGGGCGCTTGGAGCCCCAAACCCGGGCCCGGTCTCCGGAGAGAGGAGGCCTCTAAGGATGAGCTCTCCCAGGATCCCGAATAACAAAACAGCCACCCCGGCCCTGGGAAGGGTCTCTTTCTGCCAATCAAGTGCTCATCTCCAGGTCCCTGGACTCCAGAGGCGCGACCTTGGCTCCTGCCTCCCCTGTTAAGGCCGCCGGCCTCCCTCCGTTCCTCGGGCTCGGCGAGCTCCTCTCCTACGGTAAACAGACCCCAGGGGCCCTCGGAGGCTGTCGGGACAGCGGCGGGGCAGGCCGGCCCCGGCGAACACCGCGCGCAGGTGCGCTCCTGCGGGCTGCCCGGCTCTGCTCACCGCGAAACCCAGGAGCGCGCCCGCCTGCGCCCCGGCGCCCCTCCACTCCCCCGAGGACAGCCGACCCGGGGCCATAAGCGCCTCCGTTCCTCCCGGCATCGTCCACCGGAAGTGGGATACGTTTGCGGAGCGCTTCGGATGCTGCGAACCAGCAGGGCGCTCCCCGCGCGCCCCACGTGTGCAGCGCGGGGCTGGCTCTGCCACAGCTGCTGGTCCCGGGATTCGGAAACCTGGGCGCGGGTGCCTCAGCGCACACCCGCTGAGAGAGGGTGGGCGCTGGGGTTAGAACCCGAGAGGATGCCACTCTGCGGACGGGAGCCTGAGCGATGCGCCTCGGTGTGAATAGCGTCGGATCACACAGCGCCAGAAAGAGCGCACGGCACACGAAAATCTCCTCTGCGATGTGTTACTTCCTGTAGGTTTGCTAACGCAGTCACTCGAAGAAGTTCTCAGCCTAAACGCTAAATTCATACCATGCAATAACAATATTTATTAGAAATAAATGTTGCGGAGAAGTCAGTGATGTTTTCAGATTCTGCCTATTGTTTTTAATAGGTCTGATATCTGCAGTTCGCTTGCGCCTTTCGACCTGAGACGGGCGCCTGAAATCACTGAGCAATCTTTACTGGGCTCTGATTTTCTGCCGGGCAGCTCGCTCTGAAAGTCGCACAGCTTGCGGAAGAGGCACTCAGAGCTTTAAGAAGCGGATCGCCTCTTCTTCTGATAGGCATCACAGCCATGGAGATTGGGTTGATTATCGGGGACTTTACCAGAGTAAATAGGAGTCAGGTTCCCCCAATTTCTCCTTCTGAACAACAAAGTATATTTTGATTTCCCAAATCAAGTAGTCTAACGCTTAGTCTAACGCAGTCACCTTCTCTTCATCCTCTCCTTCAGCTGATTCAGTTCAAGGCCATTCATGTTTGAATGAAATCTAAGTATTGCCGTGCAAGGTGGTGAGATCTGCCTGTTCTTATATTGACATTCCCTCATTCTCTCTCTCCCCTTCTCTTTCTCCCTAGATCTTCGTGCCTATGTGTGTACAGTGTGTGTCTTTGGGTGAGTCTATTTTTGTGTGTCTCGGTATGCCTGTGTGGTTTTATATATATATATATATATATATATATGAAATGTGTGTGTGTGTCTGTGTGTGTACGTGTTGGTCCTATGTATGTCACAATGATGACAATGATCAGTGTGTAACTAGGGTCCTGGGACACCTTCCTGTATACTCTGCCCAGCGCAGACATCTCCCAAGTGTCTGATGACTCTGCTACTGCTAAAAACTGTCCACACATTTCTCTGTGTTGACACAATGTTTGAAGGCAGGAAAAGCTATCTTTAGAAGAACACAGTTTGGGACTTTGGTAGAAGTTGACCAATTGCTAAAGTAGTGCATGATTGAATAATGAATTAAAATTGTTTTCCACTACGAAAAAAGTTCACAAGTAAAGGTCTTTTATATTTGAACAGCATCACCTAGGAACCCCCCCCACCCCCCTCAAAAACCAAATTGTTAGAAGGGCCAGAAGAGGAAAGTTCTTGGTTGACTTTGAATTAAATTTTACTAAAAGCCGTTCTGACAAGCTAGATGTGAAGGCAGGGAAATTGAGGCAGGACAGCAGGAAGCAGAAAGGCCTCCCTGCAGAGGAACTAGGAGTGATGTAGCCTCTGGGCTGGGAGTCAGCCTTCAGGAAATTGCTGCAGGTGGACAGCTTGGGCGGTGGGAAATGATCTGCAGGTAAGGCTGTGTAGAAAAGGAAGGTCAAGCTCTGCAAATAGTGGCTATTAATAGCTGTTTTAATAGTGAAAGTGGCTGGCTGACATGTCTTTTGGGCTACCTAGTAATAACCTGCCACTGCTAGGTTCCCACATTAAACTTGGCTGTATTTATATACCATGAGAGCAGAATAGGCATAATAAAAATTTAGTCCATTTTTTCTCATCAAAATTATTTTTCTCTTTAAATGAGATGCCACGGCTTTTGAAAGCATAGATAGCAATATTTTATAATTCAACTTCAAGTTGAATGCTTGAAATCTTTCCCTAAATACAGAGCACATGGACACTTTAAATATATGCCGTATCATCAGCATACATTCAAGATTCTTGTCCACATTACCAAATACATCAAACTATCCTAATGATAATTACATGTATAAAAATTGTAACAATATTTTTGTTGCCATTTATATCATTTGAATAATTTATATTTTCCTGTCTCTTCAGTTAGTTCTATTTCCAAGGGAATGAGAGTTTGAAAATACATTTCTCTTATTTACACATGCTCTAGAAAAATTCAGAAGTTCCACACTTTTAGATATGTCTGGAAATACTGCCAATTTGAAATTGACATATCACTATTTCTACTTTGGCAGCTCTAGAAATCCAATAAAATGTACAAAATAATCTCCCAGATTTAAAAAAATTTAAAGTACTACATAATTGAATTTATTGCAATAAATAAATGCATAGTTTGGTTTTATTTAATGTTGGAAGATT